GAGCAGTTTGTGTCAGAGTTCTCTCAGCCTCACCCACCTCACAGGGTGTCTGGTGTGGGGAGGGGAAGGGAGAGGAGTTTGTAAGCCGCTCTGAGACTCCAAGTGAAGGGCGGGGTATAAATCCAATCTCTTCTCTCTTCTTCTTCTTCTTCTTATCTCCACTAGACAGGCAGTTTTGTGTAGGGGTGAGAAGCGCAGACTCTAATCTGGGAGAACCGGGGTTGATTCCTGACTCCTCTACAGGCAGCTGCTGGTGTGACCTTGGGTCAGTCACAAGTTCTCTCAGAGCTGTTCTCTCAAAAACAGTCCTTGAAAGAGCTCTCTCAGACCCACCTACATCACAGGGTGTCTGTTGTGGGGAGGGGAAGGGAAAGGAGTTTGTAAGCCGCTCTGAGACTCCAAGTGAAGGGTGGGATATAAATCCAATCTCTTCTTCTTCTTCTTTCTGAACCCAGTCCTAACAACTTTACAATCCACATCAGGCATTGAAATAGTAACCTTTTTGCTCTCAGACGTCAATCCCACTATCTCCGATAGAACGGCACTCCATGCTCACGCTGCAAGGAGATTTAGAAATAAGCAGGGCTATTTTGGGGCAGGAACGCACAGGAACGGAGTCCCGGCTGGCTCCCGAGTTGGCCACGCCCAGCAGGAACTCATTAGCATAATAAGCCACACCCAACAGCTACATTAGGGGTGTGTGGCCTAACATGCAAAGGAGTTCCTGCTACAAAAAAAGGCCCTGGGTTTGGACAACAAACAAGGTAAACAGAATAAGAAGCAAAAAGTGGGTGTGGCTGGGGGACCACACTTCTGGTAACATGGGGGTGTGGCCTAATAGGCGAATGAGCTGTGCTGTCAGGGGTGTGGCCTAACATGCTAATACGTTTCTGCTGTTGGGTGTGGCCTGTTATGCTAATGAGTTCCTGCTGGGCTTTTTCTACCAAAAGAGCCCTGGAGATAAGGCTGCGGAAGGACCGTACTTTCAGAATGCGCTATTTGAGAAACCCAATTTTGAAACTTATACTCATACTTCATCTATATATTTTAATTTTCTTTTAAATGTATTGCCAATCCTTGTACTGTTTTTTTTATCTTTTATATTGTGATGGCCATTAGCTACATGCAATAAACCTGGAACTGAAACTCAGTTTTGCATCGCTTGTGGAAAGCCAAAAGAGCGTAGGGATGCCAGCCTCAAGGTTGGCTCCTGGGGATCCCCTGGAATAACCGTTCATCTCCAGACGACAGAGATCAGTTCCCCTGGAGAAAACGGATTCTTTGGAGGGTGGACTCTACGGCCTTGTGCCCCACTGAGGTTCCTGTCCCTCCCCATGTTCCATCTCCAAATCACCAGTAGTTTCCCAACCTGGACAGAATAATAGAATCATAGAGTTGGAAGGTACCTCCAGGGTCATCTAGTCCAACCCCCGGCACAATGCAGGAATTTCACAAATACCTCCCCCCTCCACACCCACAGTAACCCCTCTTCCGCGTCCGGGAAATGGCGAAAAACCTCCAGGATTGCTTCCTGACCCCAAAGTGGCAACCAACGTTCCCCTGGGCGTGTAAGAAAGGGCCACAAAAACTAAGCACTGATCTGGCAACCAATGCTCCCTCTAAGCTGTGGAGTTCTTGTGAGCAAAAATTCTACTTTGTGAGCTACTGGCATTAAAGTTGTGAGCGAGCAATTTGGCCGCTGCATCAATTAGTTCGCTCTGAATATGAGCTAGCTCATGCCTTAAATTGAGCCCAGTAACTACTGGGCAGCAGTGTTCCCTCTAAGCCGAGTCAGTGTGAGCCAGCTCAGTTTTTTAGCCTCCGGCTCACACATTTTTGTCTCGGCTCAGGGAGAATGGCTCCAGGGCAAACTAACTTATGCCGCAGCCAAATCGCTCACTCACAACTTTAATGCCAGTAGCTCACAAAGTAGAATTTTTCCACACAAGTCTCCACATCTTAGAGGGAACATTGCAGTGGGCACAGCCCATGAAGTGACCACATAAGATTGTCATTCAAATCTCCACAATCCCTTTTTTCTTTTCTTCCAACAGTTCTGTTCAGAGCCCTCTCGGGTTTCCTCTCTTCGAGAGCGTCCAAATCAGCTCTCCCCTCCCTTAAACGAACTGACCTCGGACGACACAGGGATCGACACGCTGTTCCGAAATCCCTTTCGTGGATTTCCAGCAAATAATCCATCTCTCCACCTCCCCCCCCCACCTCCCTTTATCCCGACGCTTCCCAGGCAGCGCCGAAGCCTCCTGCCGGAGACGGGGTCACACTGCAAGCCCTGCTCCGTGCCAAAGCCAGGCTGGCCTCCCCCCCCCCCCCCCCCCCCCCACGCCACTGTGCCGGAGGGGCCTCAGCGGAGCTAGGCCGGGCCAGGCCGAGCTAGGCTCCTGGGAACTCCAGCCACCGACCGAGAATCCTGCCCGCGTGGGCCTGGGGTGGGTGGGGGAACACCCACTCCCTCCTCTGGGGCGGGGGGTGCATGTGGGCGTTGGGGTTTGGAGGGTGCGAGCCCGTCAGGAGCCGCACCACTCCGGAGTGACCGCAAACACTTTAGAGTAACAAAGGAGTGGAAAAAGCCGGTGCCTTTCCCTGAGGTTTGGAAGCCAGCGCGCGATTCCAGGCCGCAGAGGTTGTGTGTCAGTCTTTTTGGTGAGGCCGGCTTCAGCCTTTCATGGGGTTTGCTGCAGCGGCCTGAGGACGTTAGCCTAAATGTGTGTGTGTTTTTCTCTCTCCTCTCTCCTCTTTTCTTCCTTCCCCTCTGTTCTCTCCTTTTCCTTTCCCCTCCTTGCCTTTTTGCAGCTGAAACTCTCGTTTACTTTGGACAAGGAGAGCGGGATGCCGCAGAGCTGCTACGTCTATCAGTACCGGGACAGCAACAAGTAAGGCCTCACCAAAAGATAACTCACTGAAATGCAATTGGAAAAAAAAAAAAAGGCCAGCGCCATGCTGGGGATTATTAGGAAGGGAACTGAAAACAGATCGGCCGGTATCATGATGCCCCTGTATAAACCAATGGTGCGACCTCATTTGGAGTACTGTGTACAGTTCTGGTCACCACACCTCAGAAAGGATATTATAGCTTTGGAAAAAGTGCAGAGAAGGGCAACTAGGATGATAAAAGGGTCGGAACGCTTTCCCTATGAAGAAAGGTTAAAGCGCTTGGGGCTCTTTAGCTTGGAGGAACGACGGCTGAGGGGTGACATGATTGAGGTTTATAAGATTATTGTTAATCTTGTTGTTAATGTAAAATGAATAAAACCATTTTGAGGGGGAAAAAGATTATGCATGGGATAGAGCAGGTCGAGAAAGAGGTACTTTTCTCCCTTTCTCACACTGCAAAAACTCGAGGGCACTCCAGGAAATAACTGAGCAGTCTGGGTAGAACAGATAAAAGGAAGGACTTCTTCACCCAAAGAGTGATTAACGCATAGAATTCACTGCCACAGGAGGTGGTGGCGGCTACAAGCATGGGTGGCTTCAAAAGGGAATTGGATAAACATATGTAGCAGAGGTCCATCAGTGACTATTAGCCACAAGGTATAGATAGGAACTCCCAGTCTGGGGCAGGTGATGCTCTGTATTCTTGGTGTTTGGGGGAGCAACAGTGGGAGGGCTTCTAGTGTCTTGGCCCCACTGCTGGACCTCCTGACGGCCCCTGGTGTTTTTGGCCACTGTGTGACAGAGTTTTGGACTGGATGGGCCATTGGCCTGATCCAACATTGGCTTCTCTTATGTTCTTATATGGAGCAGAGGTCCATCAGTGGCTATTAGCCACAAGGTATGGATAGGAACTCTTGGTCTGGGGCAAGGGATCCTCTATGTTCTTGGTGCTTGGGGGGGCAACAGTGGGAGGACTTATAGTGTCCTGGCCCCACTGGTGGACCTTCTGATGGCACCTGGTATTTTTGGCCACTGTGTGACAGAGTGTTGGACTAGATGGGCCATTGGCCTGATCCAACATTGGCTTCTCTTATGTTCTTATGTTCTTAAAGCCCGAGGAGCCACGGCGTTGGGGAAGGGGGGACGGTCAGCCTCCTTGTGCCCCCTAAGTGGTGGCGGCGGCAGCCAGTTGGGAAGCGGGCCTCAGTATTGCTCTCCCACTAGGGGGGGCTGTTCCTTCGGGGTGCGGCAGAACACCAAGGATTTCTCCTTTCTCCAACTTCTCTGCTGTCCCTCCGAGGAGCTCAGGCAGTTTGCAGCCACTGTGCAAAGTGGAACCCTCTGTCTGGGGCAGCAGTGCTCTCTGTTCTTGATGCTTGGGGGGGCCACAGTGGGAGGGCTTCTGGCCCCACTGATGTATCTCCTGATGGCCCCTGGGTTTTGGCCACTGTGTGACGCAGGGTATTGGACTGAATGGGCCGCTGGCCTGATCCAGCACGGCTTCTCCTATGTTCTTAACAGATTGCTCAAGTGAGCCCATCTGCAAACTCTGCATCCTGTCATACGGATATAGTTGTGAGTGCGTGCTGTCCATCTGATTTGGTGCAGATTTATATGGAGAAAAAGCACATATTATTAAGGAAGACGTTAAGGAAGAAAGCGACCCATTTTTCAGGTGGTTAGAAGCAAGGATGAGATTAATCCCGAGGACAGTAAATACAGTAAAAATATATGTGTTGTCAGATTGCTGTCAAGAAAATACTGACCCTTCCCCTCCCCACAACAGACACAGTTACGGAAGCATTCTTTCAGACGTGTGTGTGTGTGTGTGTGTGTGTGTGTGTGTGTGTGTGTGTGTGTGTGTGTGTGTAATTCCGAACCAGGCCATAAAATGTGGATTACTAGATCTGGAAAAGGGAACTAGGGAGAGAAGGAGGGATTTCTCTGTAAACCTTATGAAGTCCTGGGTTTGCTGAAATATCTGAAATATAAAAAGAAAATACACGGGGGGGGGATTAAAACCCCAAAATAATAGAAACAGCACCAGTAGCTTTAAGAAAAGAATGTTCACTGAGCTCTCAGTGGCCATACTGGAGGTTGCTAAGCAACCACAACACTATTGCTGAGCCTTCTAAACCTCGGATTCTGTACACCGAAGCCATGGGAGGAGCATTTGGAAGCCAAAACAGTACTGAAAATGTCCCACCCACCCCCCTCCCTGTCATGACCTCTAATGGGGGAGGACTCAATGTGGATAGGTCCAGTTGCAACCTTTGGAGCTCACTGCTCACACAATTAAGCCATGCTCGGTGACAGAAGCCATCAAGCAACTCAGCCCAATGGTGGCTACTGCACAATTGGGCCTAGCCCGGCAATAGCCGCCACAAAACTCAGCCTGGCCTGTGCAGCCACCATGCAACTTCTCCAGACTTTTCCTCCGGAAGGGCTGCCTGGATGAGTGAAGGAGGGAAAATTGGTGGGTGAGCAGGAGAGAAGGAAGCATGGTGAAGGGAAAGCTATGCGGGCTGCCAGGGAAGGGAAAGAAGAAATAGTGGGGGCGTGGGTATAGGGGAAAATGAGACACCCCCCACCAATACTTCCTGTAAACTGTGAAGAAGAAGAAGAAGAAGAAGAAGAGGAGGAGGAGGAGGTGGTGGAGGAGGAGGAGTTTGGATTTATACCCCACCCTTCACTACCCAAAGGTGTCTCAGAGCGGCTTACAATCTCCTTCCCCTCCCCACAACAGACACCCTGTGGGGTAGGTGGGGCTGAGAGAGCTCTTGACAGAAACTGCTCTTTTTCAGGAACAGCCCTTATCAGAACTACGGCTCGCCCAGGGTCATTCAGCCAAGTGCAAGTGGAGGAGTGGGGAATCAAACCCGGCTCTCCCAGATTAGAGTCCGCGCACTTCACCATGACACCAAACTGTGGAGCCTTGTGAGCAAACATTCTACTTTGGGAGCTACTGGCATTGGACTTGTGAGTGAGCGATTTGGCTTCTGCATAAATTCGTTTGCTCTGGAGCCCTCCTTCCTGAGCTGAGACAAAAATGTGTGAGCCGGAAGCTAAAAAACGGTGAGCTGGCTAACTCATCTTAGAGGGAACACTGCCCCCTCACACGTTCTTGCAGGTTTCACACACATGCACGCAACGTACAATACCCTCTCTCACTCTCTCAAACGACACCAAAAAGAAGCAGACAGATATGCACAGCCACAGCTGGTGGGATGTGCCCTTGTCTACGGCTGCCATCTAAGCAAAGGTGAACCCAGGAGTGCAACCAAGCTGCAAAGGTTGTCTTTTCGCAGGGAGGCATAGTCCCATCCTAAACAGGTAAAGAGCCACTGCTCCCTTGGCCCCAGATCAGTGCTTCCTCTAAGCCAGGGTTATCAAACATGCGGTCTGGGGGCCGGATGAGGCCCCCGGAGGGCTCCTGTCAGCCCTCAGGATTGCAACAGCACAGACATTTTGATGCAGTAATTCAGAGCAAGAGGTATCAGTTATGAGACACTGTCAAATAAACAAAATATTGCAAGAGTTTTAAGCATGTTTGTGTCCTTTATAAAGTTTATATCTCCGCTAACCTGGCATTACATTTCATGACACACATGGCCCGGCCCAACAAGGTCTCGTTTATGTCCGATCCGGCCCTCATAACGAACGAGTTCGACACCCCTGCTCTAAGCTGTGGGCGTGAGCGGTCGCACATTAACACAGAAAGCCCCGTTCAGCACTGCCCATTGCCCAGTTTAAGACTACAGCAGTTATATTCTGCTCAGGAGGTGAACTGCTCTCTGCTCAGGAGGGGGAAGAAATTTAGAGGAAACGTTGCCGCAGATCATAGCCAACTAAACACAAAACAACCACAGTACCAAGATACAGACAGCTTGATGCTTTACAGAAAATGCCCTGAGTGAATCGATATCCAGGTTATAACTTTAAACTCTGTTTTATCTGGATTGTATCCAGTTCACTGGCCGCCATCCAGTCCAATCCTGCCTGCGTCCAGGCATTAACTTCTGGGCCTGGGACTGATGAGGAAAGGAGTTGAGTGCCACCTGCATGTTGATGGCCCGTCATCCGAGAACTCCAGGGGTTGAGTGCCAGCACTCTTCACTTCCATGTCAATGGTGGTGGAAGGAGATGAAAGCTGGCAGAATTGCACAACGAAAGGGTGTCAGCCGGTGATTCCCTCCCCCTTAACCTAAGCTAACTGCTCAAAGAGTCATAGACCTTGGTGGGCCTCCATAGCAACAAAGATCAACCAATGTCCATGGAGAACACCTTTCTTGGTGGGTCTTCATAGCCATGATGATCAACCAGAGACATCCATGGAGAACACCTTTCTCGGTGGGTCTCCATAGCAATGACGATCAACCAGTAGAGACACCCATGGAGAACACCTTTCTCAGTGGATCTCCATAGCAATGATCAACCAGTACAGAGATCCATGGAGAACACCTTTCTAGGTGGGTCTCCATAGCAGTGATGATCAACCAGAACAGATATCCATGGAGAACTCCTTTCTTGGTGGGTCTCCATAGCAATGAAGATCAACCAGTACAGATATCCATGGAGAACTCCTTTCTTGGTGGGTCTCCATAGCAATGAAGATCAACCACTATAGACATCCATGGAGAACACCTTTCTCGGTGGGTCCCTATAGCAGAGACGATCCACCAGTATAGACATCCATGGAGAACACCTTTCTCGGTGGGTCTCCATAGCAATCACGATCGACCAGTATAGACATCATAAGAACATAAGGGAAGCCAATGTTGGATCAGGCCAATGGCCCATCCAGTCCAACATTGTGGGGAGGGGAAGGGAAAGGAGCTTGTAAGCCGCTCTGAGACTCCTTTGGGTAGTGAAGGGCGGGGTATAAATCCAATCTCCTCCTCCTCCTCCTCCTCCTCCTCCTCCTCCTCCTCCTCCTCCTCCTCCTCCTCTTCTTCTTCTTCTTCTTCTTCCAGTGTGGCTCTCACATAGCCTTGAATTT